GCGTCTGGCGCTAATGTCTGGCGTCTGGCGCCAAGTTCTTTTATTCTCTTCGAAACTCTGATTCGTTTTTTATCCATCCGGCTGATTTTCTCTATAAATAGCCTCCTAAAACCTCCGTTTTCAATCATAAAATCTCATCAAAAATCATCAACTCTCTTCAAGATTCTCTTAATCTATCTCTCTTTTATAAACTAGCCTTTTGCATACAAAATTCCGCATTCACAAGATCTAGACACACCTAGCCAAGTTCGAAGTTGCCTTCGCCCTAGACGTGAAAGGTTTTAATTTCTGAAGGTTTGGTCCCAAATCTTTCTTTCAATTATTTAATTTAATTGTTTGATTTTATTATTTTCCTTGAAGTTACTAACGTGTGTATTTTGTTATTAGAAAGAGATACGAGGCATCCAAGTAAGTGCTTTAATTGCTTTATTGATATTATGATATAGAAATCATGTCTAGGTTGTTATTATGATTCCTAGTGTCATGTTAGGGCGTTTTGATCTTCATAATATCATGTTTAAGGTAAAGAATAAGTTCCTTAGATCAATAGTGATTTCTGTGATGCCTTTTATTGTCTTTCTAATATTCATGTTAGTATCATGTTAGGGTTAAAGCTTTGATTTTTATATGTTTAGTGACATGCTAGGGTTTGTTATTAATCTTGTTAGTATCATGCCTAGAATCTTGCTATTATTATGCTTTAACATGATTATGATAATTATGATTATGATTATTTTTATAATTGTTATGATTATTATTATGTTGCTTGATATTTATTATTATTGCTTGATCACACCTTTTATGCATGTTTAAAGGGAATTGGTACTTGTAATCACACTTAATAAGATAATTAATAATCTTGTTTAGGGTTAATTTGATTATAATTCAAGTGATCGCCAATAATAGATTTATTTGTGCATTAATATTCAACCAACATAGATTAAACAGGTTTAGGGTAAACCTATTGATTGCATGTTAGTCAGAAAGCGCACATGACTACGATTAGAATAAAGTAGAGGCCTATTATTAGGACAAGTTCAATCTCTTTTAGGTTGGATTTGTACCTTCATCCCTGAACTACCAGTCATAGTTCCAGACCTATTGGAGTTGACGATCTCTTGGATCGTTAAGGGGTGTAAACTTCACCCTGTAAACGGTTTACAAGTTCCTAAAACTTGTTGACGACTCTTTTGCTCTATCTTCCTTCCCTTTGGACGCCACCATGCTTAAGTGTATGATCACAGTGGGGTTCAAGTTTGGGGTAATGCTTAAAATATTCCCTACAGGTGGGGACCATGAGAGGATAAAGATATAATATTTTAATGTAGTTTTTGCCAAAAAAGGAAGTGTAACACTTATTAAAACACGACCGACTTTGATAAGTGTAACATTTTTATTTTTATTTTTTTTACACAGATAAGTGTAACACTTATTAAAACACGGAGGGAGTAATAAAATATAATGCGCGGTTTAAAATTATTATATATAGAAGTGATGCAAATAAAATAAAAAAAAATAAAAAAAAACATTTATAAATGGGAAGTGATGCAAATAATATGGGTATTATTTGTAAGTTATAAAATATTCCAAAGTAGCGAGTAATTTGGATCGGAGGTAGTAAAAATAAAATAAAAAACATTTATAAAAGGGAACTCGGGAAGTGATGTAAATAAAAAATAAATAATAAGAATAATTGTTAAACTTTTTTAGAAAAAACTACCACCCACAATGTGTCAAGTGTAACCACTAACCCATCAAAAAAGTTATCAGTTTTTCATTCTATTTATAAAAGATGGATGTCAAAGGTCGTTTTATTTCGGAATAATCAAAAGATCACTTTATTATATTTAGAAGATCCGTTAAAAATCATTTTATTTTTTACAATTTTTCCATTTTATTTTAAAATTCTATGATTACCAACCATATCAAAAGTGTAGTAATTGCATAGAGTTTATAAGACGCCTTATAATAAGTAATATAGAACGCTTGTTTGATTAACGAGATAAGAGATTTTCTTGGAACAAATAGCCACAAAAGAGTAAAAACTTCCGAGCACAATGGGAAAAATTACACAACAATCCATGCATACTAAAAACATAAAACACAACAATCCATGCATGCAAGATAAGGTGATCCCTCTTGTAGTAAATTTTTTAAAAGATGTGTATGACCCAAAGTTGGAAGAAAATGATGGGGATGAGATTGATTTGGTTTTAAGGGAAATGGAGTTACCTATTTTATCATAAGACGATAAAAGGATTTTTGAAAAAAGTATTACTCCAGAGGAAATTAAGGATGCCATGTTTGGAATGAAGAGTGATAAATCCCCGGGTCCAGATGGCTATAAGGCAGAATTTTTCAAGCAACACTGGGATATTGTTGGCCCTTCGGTGATTAAGGGCATTACTAGCTTTTTTAATAGTGGTTTTATCCTAAAGTCTTGGAATGAATCCATTTTGGTTATGATCCCTAAAATTGATAATCCAGAAGAAGTCGGGCATCTTAGACCAATAAGTTTATGTAATACCATCTACAAATGTGCTTCTAAATGTATGGTAAATAGAATAAAGCTAGTCCTTCCAAATCTTATTTCGGATTACCAACATGCTTTCGTACCAGGGAGACATATGTCCGATAATATCCTTCTTAGCCATGAGCTTCTCCATATGGTTAATAACAGAAAGAAGGGGGCAGATTTGGCTGTGGTAAAGATGGACATGAGCAAAGCGTATGACCGAGTAAGATGGGATTTTTTGGTTAAGGTTCTGAAGAAATTTGGCTTTCCGGACCATTAGATCTTGCTGTGTAAACAATGCTTTTCAACAGTTTCTTACAAAGTTTTGATAAATGGAAGTGTTTCCTCAAATTTCAGTCCCAGCTGTGGCTTGCGGCAAGGTGACCTCCTTTTCCCGTATTTATTTTTGTTTTGTATGGATATTTTTTCACGAATGCTAAAGCTAGCAGAAGACATCAATCTTATTAAAGGTATTAAGCTTTCGAGACAGTCCCCAAGGATTAATCACTTATTTTTTGCGGATGATGTCCTTTTGTTTTATCATCCATCAGAAGAGACATGTACATCTCTTTCTACTATTATCAGTCGATTCTGTAAGATCTCAGGGGAACAGTTGAATTTAAACAAATCTTTTATCAAATTCAGTCCGAGCACTACCCTGGGAAAGCAGGATGCTTATAAAAGTATCTTGCGAATAAACAAAACAACAAACCTGGGACATCACCTTGGTGCTTTAGTTGATCTCCTTCCAAGTAGAAGCTCAAATTTTAACTTTCTAGTAGATAAAATTGCGGGGAAAATTTTGGCTTGGAATACTCTCAACATTTCTTTCTCTGCAAAAATAATTCTGGTAAATACAGTACTTATCTCGATGGCAGCACATGTTATGAATTGCTTCAAGCTTCCTTGTGCTATTGCTAGCAAGATTGAGAGTCTGGTGATGAGATTCCTATGGGGGAATAAAGGTAGTAAGGGTATTCATTGGGTAAAAAAAGAGATTGCTCAATTGCCTAAAGGAATGGGGGGCTTAGGGTTCCGAAATATTGAAGCCCTTAATGATACCTTACTAATGAAGCAAGCCTGGCGTATGCACAATAACCCGCAATTATTGGTATCTAGAATCTATGCTATGAAGTGCCCTTCTATGCTGTTTAGAGGGAAGGTTCTCTCCTTGAAGAACAAAAGGGTTTCATGGGGAATGAGGGGTATTCGAAGTAGTGAATCGAAGTTTAAAGATGGTCATGGTTGGAAGGTTGGAAATGGGGATAAAATTTATGCTTTTCGGGATATTTGGGTTGATGGAAGAACTCCAGAGCCAAATTCAAATGTAACTTTCCGACGGGTCTTAAGAGGCAAGGTAAGTGATTTTATTAATAAAGAAAATAATACGTGGGATGCTAGGAAACTACGGGATTTTTTCCCTTTAGCAGAGGCAAGAGCAATCGGGGCTATGGAGTTGCCGGAAACAGACAGAGAGGATGTGTTATGTTGGAATCTTACCAAGACTGGAGACTTTAGCACGAAATCGGGATACGCCTTCTTACTCGGTAAACAAGTCTAGAATGATAGAATTACACTTGATGAGATAAAGTTTCTAAAGTTTATATGGAAACAAAAACTACTACCGAAATGGAAAATTTTTATTTGGAAGGTTTTTTATAATGGTTTGCCGGTTAAGAGTAATTTGCATCTTCGTCATCTTAGCGCCTCAGGCTTGTGTGAAATCTGTAAAATTGAAGAAGAAAATATGAATCACCTTTTAAGACAATGTAATACTTCAAGGAAGGTATGGTTTGGTGGAAGCCTTGGTATTAGATCGGAGGAAAACTTGGAGAGTACTATTCAAACGTGGTTAATATGTTATATCCGACTCTTTTATAGTCAGGATGGTTCCGAGAGTGAGAGAGTTCCAATCGTTGTGGCTACCCTGTGGGAGATATGGTTAGCAAGGAATGACTTCATTTTCAGAGGGAACAAGGTGCCTGCAGAGGAAATATTGGAAAAGATTGACAAGCGTATGGAAGAACACCAGACCTTTATCAACCAAGGTACGACTGGGTTTGAAGATTCTTACCCAACAGACTTAGATCCAGTACGACCACCAGGATTCCTTTTGGCAAGTTTAGGGAAGTTTGATCAAGGTTTCTCTAATCTACTAATACAATTTGATGGTGCTTGGAATAAATAAACAAAGAGGATGGGGATAGGTCGGGCTCTAGTAGAGAATGGAGTATTGATAAAGAATTATGGCTGCAATTTTGGAATGGCAAGTTCCGCTCTCCATGCGGAAGCTATGGCATGTCTACTTACAATGAAATGGTGTATCCAAGAAGGTTTAAGTAGTATGGTCTTTGTCACAGATGCTGCAAATTTGGTTGATCTGTTGCAAAAGGGGAGGGCTAGAGATAAAACAATTGATTGGACCAATCTCTGAAATCAAGGAAAAGGGAAAGAGCTTTAAATGGTGTATTATTCGCAAGGAAAATAGGGCAAAAGTGGAAGTGGCGCATAGAATAGCCAAGGATGCAGCATCCTTTTTAATTTCGTCTGTTAAAAAAAAAACATAAAACATAACAATATGATTAACTGCATACATTCATTTTTAAGCATGGCCTGCATAAATACCATGAAAATACATCCAGCTACTTCGAATGTTCAACACTAACCCCCTTTTTTTACGACAGGTACCCCACTTAGCCTTGCAAAAACAGCTAGAGACCCACATTTACGTCCACAACAATCACTTCCCAGTTACAATACGAAAGTTTTTACTGTACTGCACCAATATAAGTTCCATACAGCATTTTTGCATACAACATAACGCTACCATTTCCGACCAAAAAATGTTGTAACCAAGTCAGCTTAGCAATTGCTTCACATATGTTCATGAGCAGGAATAGCACCATCCTCTTCCTCATTATTTCGGGAATAAGATAGGTTCCCGCCTGCAACTGCACTGTCAGCGTTAGCAGAACGAGCCTTTTCCATCATCATTTCATGAAAACTTTGCCCTGGAGGAACTCTGTTAAGCTTTTCAGGGCTGCGACTGCGGCTTCTACTCCTCCCACGGTTCCACCCCTGATCCTTAACTGGAGCCCCACCCCAAGCCTTCTGACCACTTGGGCTTGGACTTCGGCTGCGACCTCTAGGCTGGTAGCCTCTATCATGTTGGTAGCCTCTATCATTATCATTATACCTTGGCACAATCAAATAACATTAGCAAAACTGCTCCAAAATACATAGTAGATAGTACAACTCACAAGAATCAGTTTCAATGACCAAAGAAAAAATCATACTTCTCAAGGGGAAAAGAAAAAAAAAAATCAATGCGCACTAAGAAAATACGTAACTGATTTTCAGTCTGGTCACATACAACACAATCACAAATTATGTCATCCAGCACCATAGCAAGCGAAAGTCAATATAACGACAGTATTCCATATGATGTCAAAAGATGTTAGACACAACAAATGTTCCCCATATAATGTCAAAAGAAGGATACATCAAAAGTATGTCCCCAATCATAGACCAAAGAAGTCAAAAATCAATACAACAATCTTCACAAAATGAAATAAAAAACACCGGTGAGAGCACCACAAGAAGCGAGAGCACAAACATAATACAATATACCAAATAAAATAGCATGTTTTTTTCTACTTCTAAGAGAGACTAGGCAAAGCATAATATACTCATCAGAACTTCAGAACCACATACAGATCAGCATAACAGCACTGAATCTTTACAAGAGCCTGAAACATAAATGGGGGTGGATGTGTGATATAGTAACCTATAGGACATTACTGGAATCATATATATATTGAACAAGATCTCTAATTATGTAAGGACGATAGTGTATTATGACACTATGCCTTCTTGTAAGTGATAATTTTTTTTTTCTCGGGGGTTGGGAGGGGGGAATGGAGGGTAAATCAGTTTTCAGATTATATGTAACCAATGTATCTAATAGTTAATCACTGAAAAGCATTCACCCAATACAATTTGAAAAGCTCACCAAAAAAAACATTAATAAAATAAAAATTAAAAAAAAAAATAATAAGTAGCATGTCACTTTACCTATCGCGACCCCTTCCACCATCCCTGCCACCATAACTTGATTCAAATCTCCCACCTCGGCCTCCATCACGACCACCAGAGCCATATGGACGTCTAAACCTACCCATTCCACCACCACCACCTCGTAGTGCCATATCACGGACCTCCTGTGGAACTTTTTGATTTGCCCCTTCAAGAATCTTTACAAGATCAGAAGCATATCTACTATCCTGATCATTAAAGAATGAATATGCCACTCCAGTTGCACCTGCTCTTCCCGTTCTACCAATTCTATGAACATAGTCCTCAATTCCTGTAGGGAAGTCATAGTTAACCACCACCCTGCATGCAACCAAATAATGTCAATGTAGAGTTCATATCACCAAAGATAAACACACGCAGCAACTATATGGGTGTTTCACATGCAATAAAAGTGAAATAGTAAGCATTAATCACAAACCTAATGTCCTTAATATCAAGACCACGGGCTGCAACATCTGTAGCAACCAGCACAGGAGATCTTCCAGATCGGAACTGATTTAGTACATGATCACGTTCACTCTGAGACTTGTCACCATGTATTGCAGCTGCACCAAATGGACGAGACAAGTTGCGAGCAAGAAGATCACACATTTTTTTAGTTGCACAAAAGATAATGATCTTTGATCCTGGTTCTTCAGATCTTAATATCTGCTCCAGTCGTCTTTGTTTTTCCATAGAAGAAACTACTTCCACATGCTGCAACAGATAAATTTAACGTTTAGTAGTTAGTACATACCACCAACGCCATCAAGGATATTATCATATACTTCCTCCGTTACTATTTAGTTGACGCGTTTGATATATATTAAAAAGAGGAGAGTGAGAGAGAATGAAAAAGCAAGTGGGGTAGCTTGTAAATGCAAGGTAAAAAAGTTACCCCAAAATGAAACGTGTCAAATAAAAAATAAAAAAAATAAAAAAAACTTCCTAAAAAGGAATACGTGTCAACTAAAAAGAAACGGAAGTAGTATATCACTCGTTGATAATAGAGCAAGATAAAGGAAAAAAAGATTGGCATTTACCTGAGTGATAGACTTGTTTGCAACAAGTTCATCTGCATTACCAATATTAACTTGGACAGCATTTGACAATAGATCAGCTGCAATCTTTCGGACCTCTTTGGGCCATGTTGCAGTATACATCAGTGTCTGGCGACGAGTGGGTACCTCCTTCACAATTTTTCTAATTTGTGGCTCAAAACCCATGTCTAGCATCCGATCTGCCTCATCAAGCACCAAATAGGAGACCTGATTCAAGCTAATTCTCTTTGTCTCTAGTATATCATTCAAACGACCAGGTGTAGCTACCACAATATCCACTCCTCTATCTAACTCCTTCAATTGTGGGCCTTTGGGTGCCCCTCCATACAAACACTACAGGATTAAATAAAGGGAATAACTTTATGAGATGAAACAATTCCATATATACTCGATTACAGCAGCACAAATAGGCAAGCACAAGGTATATGTATGGGAGTGAGATTGATATGGTTACCAGTCAGTACTTCTAAAAAGATACTCATGAAAAATTAACAATATAAAATGGCATACGACTCCAGCCAAAATTTACCACAACAATGACCCAGACCATTTTATCAAATTCATCCCAGAAATTCTACTCGAAATAGTAGTAATTCATATAACTCGAAGATCAAGTTTTGAAAACAAAAACTGAAAAAAGCATACTGCTATATACATTAAAATACAGACTAAAGATATTACTAATTTAAGAACAGATTCAAAAGAAACAAACAAAATTTATGTTCAACTTCCAATTAAGAAGATGTGCCCTCACTAAAAATAATCAAGCAAGACAACCTAAATACATTTATCAGAAACAGAGATCACGTCGTACCGTGCAAGATATTCTGGAGGACCTCCCAAATTTCACAGCCTCATCTTGAATCTGTGTTGCCAATTCCCTTGTCGGTGACAGTACTAACACAGTTGGTCCCATTTGTGTATTGTTGCGGCGCTGCTTGAGATGCATAAAACCTGGAAGAAGATAGCCTAAGGTCTTTCCAGAACCTGTCTTAGCAATTGCCACAATATCTCGACCTTGCATTGCAATTGGCCATGACTGTGCCTGAATAGGTGTAGGAGCAGAAAATCCAGCCTGGTGTACCTGTAAAAGCAAAAAACCACAAGAGTGCTGAGTAAAAGAGCTAAAAAGTTCCTAAGCTACAGCTATTTTGAGTTACAGAGGATCATGCAAGAAGAAGCACCATCCTCCTATGCAGGTAGCGAATGCTTGCAAGATGCAAGCCACAGCAGGAGGTGGCATCTTCTTTTTGTTTGGACCATGTGGCAGACTGAATCATCATCGACAGCAAGCCGGCCACGAACTTGGATGATTCGAAAAATCCATCTCAAACAATGGTCCAGCGTAAAAAGAGCACTCCAATTACAAAGCCCTCCAACAGAGGGCAGCACAGCGTACGACATTAGCTCCTCCCTGGAGCAAATATCGCATCTGCGACAAAAAGTAAAGATGCAAAATAAATAACCCAAGTCTGAACTCCAGCAACTGCAGAACTTTGCATGGAAATAATCGGCAACATAGTTCGGCACACTTACTGGGACAGAACAACTATGAGATAAATACATCATAGATACCTCTTTCAGCAATTCAGAAGGGAAACCAGTAGCTTCGAAATTTGTGAAAGGTGGGGGCACACCACTTCCCTAAAAAAAAGTAAAGTAAACTGTAGTCAGGAAAAAATATTTCTTTTCACAACAGGAAAAATAAGAATACTATAAAGTAAGACAATAGCATCAAAATAAAAATAAAAGATTATGTCCATCAATCAATAGTAGAAATGAAATGAATTGCCCATGCATTTCAGTAAGTAAAACCCAATAATGTTTTTAATTGCACATATAGTACCAAATGTTTAATTACTTTAAAAAGCCACTACTAAAACTTGAACCATGAAATTACAAATAAACCATTCATATCATAACACTATGTTTGGAACTTTGGATTGAGAGAAATGGATGGAAAAGAAGAGGAGAAACTGAAGAAATTGTCACCCTTTCATTTGGATATCATATGAAAGGAAACTTGGGAGAAAATTCAAAGGATCCATTCTCCTTCCCCTTTCATAAACCAACTTCCACATCAGAAAGATTTGGAAAGAAAATGGAAGCTCACTCACTCCCTCCCTTCCCTATCCTTCCCCTTCATTATACTCCTCTCCCTTCCCTTGCTCTACATGATTGATATTTAAACATAGTGTAAATTAACAGCACTGAAAAAACAAAAGAACATTCATGAAGTAACAAACAGTTGACGTAGATGATAGATTTAAGTATTCACAATCTTAAAAGGATATGCAAGTAAAGATTAGAATCCAGTCCATAATACTCACAGAAACAGATATTTCATGCCGACGACGATAAGCTTCAGGCGACAAGCCGCTACCTGCATGGGCTGCATCCACAGGTCTTTGCTCACGAATGGATCCTTCAACAACAGCATCATTTGGAATATTTCCACCTTTGGTGCTCTATTTCAAAATTTAAAATTTAAAATACTTGTAAAACAAGATGACATTGTATCATCCCAATTCCATTTGTTCAACAAAAGATGACATTGTGTTTAATGCATTGATTTCCTAATTTTATCCAAAACTTTTGCTAGCTTTGATTGTGAGTATTGATGGTGAAGCAATTAGGGCATATAAGAGAACCTAATATACTTTATACCTTGCTAACTATATTGAACATAACAAAATGTAAAACACAGAAAAATAACACGTAGTATAAGATAAATAGAGTATAAGAGAACGTGCAAGTAAAAATGTAGTATACGAGATCACAAGCATGGTAATAAACTTGGATTGCATAAACATAGGTGACAGTCATACTCATGGGTATTCATAATAAAAGCCTTATTTTACACCAAAAATGGATAAGAGAAAAACATGGAAATGCAATTCTTATAATGACATGGAACTTGAAAACAACTATATAAAAATACTTCCTCCGATTCTATTTAATTGACCTATAGCTTTGGGCACAAGATTCAAGGAGAGGAGAGACAAATGTCATTTTGTGGCCCTTGTTGCACATGGCTTACTTTATTACCCCAACAAGTTGCCCTCACGTCCATTTCATAAGGGTAATTTAGAAAATTTATCTACCAAAATTTTACATAGAATGGGTCAAGTAATATGACATTTTCATTTTAGGGATGTTAGTCAATTAAATAGAAACAGAGGAAGTTGATGAGTGACATTTATGTCACTTTTAGGGTGTAGTTTTAAAGTCATTTTTCGTATATATTTTCCTCTATTTTCCCTTTTATTCTCTTGTTTTCTATTTAATAAAGTTTCTTGTTATTTTGGTATATTTTAATTTAATTTCTTTATTTTATTACTTTTAGTTTATTTTCGCATTTTATTTGCTTTGGATTTATTTTATTTCGTTCTTTTTCCTTGTTACTTTCATAGTTTTAATCAGTTCGTGGTTTATTTCTTATTTTACTTTATTTACTTGTATAGTTTTATTTAATTTTTATTAGTTTAGTGTTATTTCTCTTATTTTAATTTGACTTTATTTATTTCAGTTTTTATTATTTAATTTATTTGTCCAATTTCTCCCCTCAAATTGTGTTTTGTGTAGGCGAATGCTCGTGGGTTCGAGGCATGTGCTACAAAGTTCAAAAGAAGTGAGTTCAAGTCTCGGTTTGGAGTCAACAATATCCTCCTCCATCCACAACCCACAATCAGCCACATCAAAACACCACCATAATCAGCCACGCAAACGACCATCTCTTTTTCCTTTTTCTTTTTCCTTTTTCTTTTACTTTCTTTCTTTATTTATTTCCTCTTATAATTTTATTTCTCTTTACTTTCTTTTATTAACTTTGTATAAATACCCATTTTTTGGGGTATTTAGTTTTAATCAACAATTATTCTATTTTCTTAATTAGTTTTAGGAGAGCTTCTCTTTCTAGGTTTAGATTACGTTAGAGTAATTTAGAGAGAGAAAGTGAGGCTCACTCCATTGTTGATCTTGGATCTTAAAGAAGCTTAATCAACCTCTTTGTACATCTTCAACTTCAATCAATGAGCATCTCCTTACTCTTTTCTCTTTATTTTGCTATTTTATTCTTGTTTTAGTTGTTAGTATTGCTTGTTAATCATGTCGATGCTTGGTTAGTTGTTAATTAATCTTGTTGTTGGTATGATTAGTGAGTAATTTCCCCATTAAGGGGATGGTTGTGGTTTAGTTGGATCTTGAGCATATTTTAGGGTTTGGAGTTAATTTGTTTGTGATTAAAGTCTTTATATGCTTGATCAACCTACTTGCAAAATGCATGTTGTTAGTTGATTGAGGGTGAATTATTGCATGATGATGCGATAGCGGACCTAGCAAGATCCATTTGTATCGATTGTTATTTGATTGCGCCTCCTAGTATATGGTTCTAATGTGAGAACATAGCGGCTATGTTAGGAGAAGCCAATTGACCCCAAAAGGTGGCTAGATTGGACCCCTTATATCGATATTCATGCATGTATAGTTCGTGATTAATTCAACTTCTATGCCTTTATTTATGTTTGAGTGAATGCTATACCTAAACTGTTTTCCTTAATGTTTTATTTCTTGTTTTAGCGCCTTTATAATTTAGTTTAATAATCTCATATTCCGAACTAGCTTAATTGTTGATAACATTTGGTGGTGTTTACTCGTTCCCTATGGTTCGACCCCTATGCTTGCCTTATACTCGTATTAGGTTTATTAAGGTTGTATAAATTGTATTTGATCTAATGATAGACATCTGACAACGTGTTTATTTCCCTTGTCAGAAGTATTATACAGTTTCAAATAAAATTGTTTGTTTTCAAATTTGATTTGAAATTTTTGTTCATATAAGTTTAATGAAACGAAACTTAGTTTGAAGCTAATAATTTTAAACATAATAAACATCTTAGAAATAATTTAAAACTCCCCCCATTTTGAAAGATCTTAATGGTGAACACTTTCCATTTTGAATTTTTTTCTAGAACTTCTCTACACATTAACTGTCATTCAATTTTTGACAAACCTCTTTCACTATGTTGCCCCCCTAATCCTGCACTATTTTTAACTTTCCATTCACTATCTCTTTACTATATCCACCTTTTTATTTACACCTACCCACTTTTTACATTCCCTCTCGTACTTTCAACCACCTCAAAATATTGTTCAAATACTTCCTCTTTTTTTATTTACTTGCAACACACCACATTAGCACGTACTTCAAGGATGACACTACCCCCAGTATTTTTAACCTTGACCTAATTTGACAGTTGCATTATTCACACTCACCTTTGACTGCCTTTCGTGATGTGGAATCTTGTTTGAATCGTTTCCATAAATCCTATTATAATATCCATTTGTTGTAATTATTAATTACTAAGAATTAAAGGTATTGATGATTAGTTTACAACACTTACAAGTGTGGTAAATGAAACGGGTTAAGTAAAAAAGAAAGGAAAAACCATTAATCTAGGTAAACATACAAATTAAGTAAAAATAATACTACCATTTATAAGAAGATAGTGTAAAGTTGTAAAATTTAGATTTAATAGCTTAATCCGTATGTTTACCTTTTCTAAGAGCAACAACTCGTGGTTTAATTTTATACCACGGTGTAAAAATTCATGCATATGTTAAGGTGGATACATGAGAACACTCTAAGAGATAGAATCAGAAATGAGGTTATTTACAAAAAAAGTAGGTGTGGCAAGCATTGCAGATAAACTAAGGAAAAATCAAATGCGTTGGTTTGGGCATGGCAAGACCCAATGGTGTACCAGTTTGAAGAATGGAAGAATGGGACCATGGAAAGGTTAAATGAGGGAGAGGGAGAGGGGGAGCGAAAATGACTTGGTTGGAAGGAGTTAGGAAAGATATGAAATATATGGATTTACATGAGGATGAAGCATTGGATCACAAGGGATGGAGGAGAAAGATTTATGTCTATGACTAACGAAATAATCAAACTTGGTTCATGTAGCCGACCCCCCTTACGGGATTAAGGCTTTGATTGATTGTTGTACAAATTCATCAAAGATCTATAAGCTCTTACTACCTTGGTGGTATAAAACTATACCATTTGATGGTATATATATTAGGTCCACGTGAAACATGAACCAACCATGGCATGGTTATCTTATACGGAGTATCTTTTATTATATTTTTTCAATTGCATTTTAAGAAAAACTTATGAAGTAAAAAAGAATCAAAAATTACCGTTCATGATTTTTCAAGACCTACACATAGACATCCGTATTAATATAGTTTTATATATTTTTCAAATTCGCTTTTCTCTACCTAGATTGCTTATTTTAATTAATTAACTTTACAAATAGTAATTAGTTATTAAAATGAAATATAATCATAATTAAATTAAGTAAATAATTAATACACATAGGATAGAGAAAGTGTGATGGTAAACTTTTTTTATGATCCATATGTAGAATGATTTTTGGAGAAAGTAAATTGTATTGTGGCATAGATGATGTGGAGAAGCATGAAAGTGGTAGAGAGAGAGGGATGGTCTAATCAATTCTTCAAACAACGTGGCAAAAAGGTGTGTTGCAACTTGCAAGTATTAAAAAGTGGAAGTAAATGTTAATATTGAATGTGGAGGTAACAAATAACAGAAAACAATTCCAATTCATTTTACCTACTCTAAACAATAGTCAACTAGTGTATTTTACAATTGCCTTAAAAGCCAAAATATAAACTTTCTTATTTAAAAAGAAAGAGACAGTTTTGGATTGTTAAATTTACAAATCCCAACCTTCATTAACGACTAGCCACTGGAAGCTGATTAGCCAGAATTTTTTTTTAAAATAAAATTAATTTAAATTAAATTTGTGTATTTTAAGTATACTACTGCCACTGAATAGCCTAAATGCTGAAACATATTAAAGCCTTTGACACTTGAAATAAATCACATTTTAGCATAAGATATTTCTTGCTCCACTCCAAGAAATTAACAAATTATTTCTAGATAATGTACATCACACAGCCGTTCACCAATATGTGAAACAAGTTGCATAAACTAGCAATCATAATGTGCAACTCACGCAAGTGAAAAGGTTATTACATAGATATTAATTAAAAGAATACATGTAAAGCAGATTGCAAGTCACTTATTCCACAATATCCCGCACAACATAATTTTAAATGTATTGTTTCACCCACCATAGCACAAGAACACCCAGCACAAGCAGGAAGCAACAATCAACAATCAACTTATTCCTTAAAAATAGCAATGTATTTGCATTCAGATAGATTAATCAATTAACCAATTTTATCAGTAGCTAGCCACACAAATATTGACGAAGAAAAAATCAAGATGGTGACAAATCTGAAAGAGGAAAAGGTATACCTGATGATTCCTTTCAACATTGCTACCTCTACTATATTTATCATCATTATCACCATTCCCAACATCCTTATGTCCATTAGAGGACTGCTGAACTTGGGCTGAAGAACTTACATAAGTCGAGTAAGGCCTAGATGAAATCGAGCTACCATGTGAAGGTGCACCAGGCCTCTCGTACTGAGTCACATTAGTCTCTGGATTCCAAAAGTACAAGTATCCAGTTTTCCCATCCACCAACCCTCTCCATGGTTTTGGTAATGATGGATCTTCAGGTGCATACCGCGGCCCAGGCGAAGCTGTAGCTGTAGCAGCCATTGAAACTTCCTGCAAATCCCCCAGTTAGTACCCATCTAAAATTCATGCTAGTATTCAGTGCCAAAATCTTGGCCTATAACCTAAGATTCGAGAACACATATAAATCGTAAAAATAGCAAAATTCGTTGCACAATTTTTTTTACAAATTGAAGTAACTGTTTTAAAAACATCAGTTGCATGTTTTGCTTAAGAAAACGTGGAGAACACAGTATCAACTAAAATTAACGTTACTACAGAAAGACAAAATCTTGATCTTAATCTAGGATTTGGGAACAGAAAAACAACATAAAAATTATAACTTTTTCAGCATCATACAAAATACGAAAGAGCGAACAAACAAGAGAGATTTGCAATCCCTAATCAACATAAAATAGGCACAAAAATTCCTGAAAATTGAAAAAAAATTGCTAAACCTAATACAAATCAACAATAATCAAAATTTAGGTTTTCAGATCAAAAAAATAAAATAAAATAAAAAAAAAAAAGCGAAAAACTTCCATTTTTAAACTCATAAATTAGCTGTAAAATCTAGCAATAATAAGCGGGAAAATTCAGATACCGATTTTAGGGTTTATTAAGATGAAGAAGAGCAGTTTAAAAAACGATGATCTAATCTCAGATCTAAAAATGGTGAACATTACATTACAAGTTAAAAGAGAAAAAAGAGAGATTACCGGTAGATGTTTAAGTTAAGAGTGCGGCGTAGCAAAGAAGTGGCGGAGAATCCCCGCACTTCCTGTGGCACGGACTACCTTTTTCTCTGCTTTCTCTCTCAACGCGCTTCAGAAATGTTGAGGAAAAATTGAGACAAGTGAAATGAGAGGTTTGTTTTTTTTGGTGTTAATAACTTAATACATTGAAACCCCAAAATACGGAGTACACTTTTACTTTGTTAAAAAAAAAATGCACATTTAAGTTTCCTTAAAATAAAGGAAAAGTTGCCAACGATGATCTTTTAGCGGTATTTTAAAAATAAAACGAGCTTCTAAGAGCAACTCCAATGGTTGTACTTAGGGACTTGCTTGCCATTTTTAAAAGTCTCTAGCTACTAGCTTGTCTATTGGAGCTAAAAAATACAATTAGCTTGGTCAAGCAAATTAAGCTAATTTGCTTGACAAAAAAGTTTCTAAATTTATTGGAGATTAATATATTAAAATAATTAAATTTCTAGGGTTAATTGAGAAAGTCAATCTTATTTAATTAGCAAGCTAGTAGCTAACCATTGGGACACAAAATTATTGGAAAAGTTTGTGTGACGCGGGATATTTTAGAGCGACGCGGGAAATAATTAACCTACGGGAGTTAAAACGCGTGAAGGGTTTACGCGGAGAAAACATGGAACAGCCCCGTGTCAAGGAATGGGCATCGTGACACGGGAAATTATACCATGATGCGGTGCGAAATCCCGTGGCGCGACAACTGTTCCCGTGACACAGTGGATTTTCGCGGAAAAACACGGAAAAAAGCACCGTGACACGTTGAAAATTACCGTGTCACGGCACCAAGCACTGTGCCACGCCAGATTTTGCTGTGACACGGTGTTTTTACACTGTGAGCTGTAATTCCAGTTTTTACGCGTTTTTTAAATCATGATAACTTTTGATCCATAATACGGAATAAGGCATATAATATATCATTGGAAAGCTTACCAAGTCTACTTTCCAACGCAATTAGAATCAGGTCAAAATCATTTGTAGATTTTAAGGTATGGCCGTTTCAGTAGAAGGGTGTCGGTTTTTGGTCGAGTTTAGTATTTTGCTCATATCTTCTTCATTTTAAATCGGAATTGGGCTTATGATATATGGTTGGAAAGCTTGTTTCAAAGCCTATCCAACAAAATAATAATTGGATCAAAATTTTTTGGCCACAAAATCAGTTTCTCTCGGTTTTGTGATGTGGACACGAAAAGAGGAAAACAAGTTATGGTTTAGGGAAATGAGCTAGGAAATGGATTGGTTTATGAAATGTATTGAATGGAAACATGGATTTAAGCACTCCAAATATTAAATACTCAACACGGCCAATAATGGCGATGAAAGGTTGTTCATCATCAAGTTTAGTTTTGGGGAGACATTTTTAAGTGTCTATAGAAGCCCCCACTTTGATTGAGTTTGTAGAAACGTTGAGTTTGTAGAAACGTCAGTTTCGAAAACTGACAAGCTAAAGTCGTATCACCTAATCAAAAGTAATTCCTAACTCCTTTAACTAATGCAGATAGGGAAGTAGGGTCGAATCCACAGGGAAACTGGTCTTTGTATTCCTAATTAATTAAAGCAATCCAAATTATTAAGTAACAAATTAATATTATGGTGAAAGGAATCTAAATCACGGAGAGTAAAAGTAGGGAAGAAAAAGAATAGAGAAAATCAATGAATAAAAGACCTAGGGCATAGGTTCACCAATAAATAAAATTTCAGGATAAAACCTAATAATCAATCATCAATGCATCAATTAATCAGATCATAAAGGGCTTTTGCTACGTATTACAATAACAGAATTAATCTACCGGTATTAAATCTCATCGCTCAAATCTCAACTTAACCATTTATAAATTAATCTGCCTATTGAAACTAAGCCTAAATATCAATTCTCATCTCTCGAATCTCGAATTAATATTGCTAAACTCAAACATAAAAGATCTGCGCAAATCTAGTTGCATAGCATTAAATCAATCAATAGAAAATTAATCAAGCATTGATAATCAACAACAATAAATCACCCCTTCATATTATTTATGGATCCCCACAAACCCTAGAAAGAAAATGAAAGGAATGGTGTCCTTCGAACAAGTGTACTATTCCGTTAGCGGGTTCAGAATTATTAGAAAGCTAATATATTCAGTAAGGTCAAGTGATCGGAATGCTTGGGTGGAGGCCGCTTCCGATCAGAATATTAATGTACAATTAATATTACAGCTTAATCTTGACTGAACCCTTCGGGTCTCTCCCTAGCAAAAATACGAACCGACTCGACGAATTAATTCGGAAGAAATTAATTCGTCGCCCGAGTGTTAAATATTTAGACGTCGGAAATTCGAGCTTGGAGAGTCGAAACCGAGCGTCGGAGAGTCTCAAATTTCGAGCCAAATTTAGGAATTGGCAAGACGGGAAAATACTTCAAGTAACAAGTAAAATCCTAGCCATGTGAAAGGCTAGGAAAGCGCGCCCAATAGGTGTGTGCCACATGGCAGCACACGTGGCAGCCGCCAAGTGGCAGCGTGCCACGTAGGCAGCGTGCCATGTGGCAGCGCGCCATGGTGGCGACACATATGGCAAGGGCCGTGGACCCGGGGCGATGGGTCATGGACACGGGCCAAAATAAAATAGCCCAACCGAACCCAACTTGGGGCTCAAGGTTGGGTGACACATGGTTAGTTCACATTGCATGTGAATTGCCTTGGGGACCAAGTAGGAAAGTGGTCCTCACCTAACCATGTGACACTTGTTACTTATTCCTTGGTTTATTTAACTAAGGATTGAATTCATCAATCTTTCCATGTGGGATCTTTTTGTGAAAAAGTCCCACATTGAAAGCTGAGTGGAATTCACAAGCTATCCTTCCTTATAAATAGCCAAAGCATGGCTTGAGAATTCTTTGCTTGAGTGAGAGTTGAAAAAGGCATCACCATTGTGAAAACCTTTGAACTTATTTAATCACTTGGGTTTTGGTCGGACCTTGCTAACTCCAAGGTAGCGGACTTAAAAAGTCGGTGTTTGTTCTTTGTGGGTGGATACCGTTGGAGGCTCTCGTGTGAGCGGGGCTAAAGCTTTCAAGTAAGAGCCCGACTTTGAGGGTGAAGCACGCGTCAAAGGTAAATTCCGATTTTATCCTTTTATGTTTATTTATTATGTTTTATGGTTTTATTTATTGCGAGTGGTTCTTTGGGTCGGGGTCGTTTCCGCGGTAAGTTGGACTTACCAAACCCCAACAGTGGTATCGGAGCCGCGCTCGTTTATTTTTAAAATCATAATATTTTTCAAGGTGATTTTTATGGCTTAATTTTTTTGGTTTAATTTTCTAATTAGATTAGTAGCTCGTATTATCTATTTTAACCTCGTATATACGCTACCTTCAGCCCGAACCCAGATTTCAACTCAAAAATAGTGAATTTTGGGTGGAAAATGTGTTCTGGAAATGGTTTTTTCTTCTAGGGAGCGGTTTTTAGCCAAAAAACGACCAGAAATGCTATTTTCGAGGGTTTTTCGTTTTGATGAAAAATTTTAAGTGTTTCTAACCTTGAAAATTAATTGCATATTTATGGTGGTTATGTAATTGGTTCAATACATATTTTATATGCAATTTTAAACCTCTTTAGGCATGATTACTTGGTAGCAATTTTGTGCTTGAATGCTTTGTTTTCTTTTTTCACATAATTGCAAACTAATTGTATTAAGTGTGAAATTGTTGTTCTTTGAGGCTTCCAAGTATTAAAGATTCAATCTTTAATTATGTTAAGTGATTGAAACTTTATATTACTAAATTCCATGAATTTTTGTTAAACTTTGTTGATTTAATCATTTTTTAGTTGATTGGAATCATAAAGTTTGAAACTTTGTGATGGAAAATTGTTTATCTTCATATTGGAAGATATAATTTTTCAAGAATTCACAAGTATTAAAGTTGAAATCTTTATTGAACTTATGTTCATTTTTCCAACTCCCTTTTATTTTGTCAAAAACTCAAGATTAATTTATACTAATTAAATTAATAGTGAGTAATTGCCCTCTTATTATTTTAGTTGCACCAAGTTATTAAACCAATTTAATTAAAGAATGGTTCTTGGGAATTATTTTGGTTAGATGCACTTTGAAAATTTTATTTTAAGTTAGACTTGTTTAAATTTTCATTTTTGCTCAATGAAATTAATCCTAAAATTAGTTTAGAATTGATTAGAGATGTCACACAAAATCAGGAATTATTCCCGAGGCACAAGCATGCAAACCAAGGCACAATAGCCATGTACATCCCTCGGCCAGCTGGGCTACTCGCACAGCCCGCATGTGGCTGCCGTGGACGAGGCTGCTGCGCTTGGTGCATGTGGTGCTAGGTGTGTGCGAGGAGCCGTGTGCTGACTTGGTGCATTAGGGGCATAAGAGACGATGCAAGGTGTAGCAGCAGTGCTAGGCAGCTGCAGCTAGACGCGCATCGAGTGCGCGCTGCCAAGCAGCGCCCAGCAGCATCACAGCACGCAAGGCCGAGGCTACTAAGCAAGCGCTCAGCACTTGCGTGCGTGTGAGTACTCAAGGGTGCTAGCCTTGGGTAGTTTTAGGGAATATTTCAAGCGTTAACCCCTAGCTTGAACCCCACTGTGATCATACATAAAGTACGGTGGCGTCCAAAAGGGAAGAAGATAGAGCAAAAGAGTCGCCAACAAGTTTTAGGAACTTGTAAACCATTCACAGGGTGAAGGTTACACCCCTTAACGATCCAAGAGATCGTCAACTCCATAAGGTCTTGAACCAAATAAGGGTTCGGGGATGAAGGTACAAATCCAACCTAAAAGAGATTGAACCTGCCCTAATAATAGGCCTCTACTTTATTCTGATCGTATTCATGTGCGCTTTCTGACTAACATGCAATCAATAGGTTTAACCCTAAATCTGTTTATCTATGTTGGTTGAATATAATGCACAAATAAATCTATTATTGGCGATCACTTGAATTATAATCAAATTAACCCTAACAAGATTATTAATTATCTTATTAAGCGTGATTACAAGTACAAATTCTCTTTAAACATGCATAAAAGGTGTGATCAAGCAATAACAATATATCAAGCAACATAATAATAATAATAATAATAATAATAATAATAATAATAATAATAAGCTTATAATCA